CACATCAGACCCCCTAGTAAAACGAATCATACCTGTAGAAGGAATCGAAAAACCAAGCATCGACATAGCTACCAAAGCTGAGATCGATAGTAAACCGAAAGAGCAAACATAAGGCAGCTGCTCCGAATCAGCAGCAACCCAAGTTCTAACAACATTCTGGTTTCCAAAAACCAAAACTCGCAAATTCAAAAAGCACACCACCGGGGGCACGACCCAGCCTCCAAGCCCACTCGTCTTCAGAGTAAACACGCGCAGAACGAGATATTCCCCCGAACCTAAAACTTCAGCCGAGGACACGGTCCTAGCTCCGGAAGTTAATAACATACCTGAAAATATTCCTCTGGATATAGGTTCCAGGGAACCTAACCGAAGGAGTACCCGCGGGGGCACGACCTCCGGCCGTAACAACACCCGGGAACCTGATCCAGCACAAGGACCTCCTCCTTCCCTTCACGAAAAAATCATAGGAAGAGAGGACTGGAGAATCCCAATTATGCAGTATATTTCGGAGGGCAAGGTCCCCCCCCCATAAATGGGAAGCTCGAAAACTCAAAGCAACAAACGCAAGATACTGCATAATGGAATCTATCCTTATAAACGAAGCGTATCGGGTCCTTACCTGAGATGCGTCCACGGCTTTGACGCTATTAAACTCATGAAAGAAATGCATGACGGCTCCTGCGAAAACCACTCCGATGGTAGAGTCTTAGCTATCCGAATCAAAAGGCAAGGCTATTTCTGGCCGACCATTATCGCTGACTGTGAGGTCTACTCGCCTTCATGCGACAGATGTCAAAGGCATGCACCAATTAGACATCAGCCTACGGAAAAACTATCCCCGATATCCGCCTCATACCCGTTCATGAGATGGTCCATAGATATCATAGGACCGCTAGTAAAATCAGGAAGAGAAAAGCAAAAGCTATGCTTCCTTTTAGTCCTAACAGACTACTTCACCAAATGGATAGAAGCTGAAGTTCTCCAGCAGGTAACTAAAGTCAAAACGAACGACTCGTATGGAGAGACATCATCTACCGTCACGGCATCCCATACGAAATCGTAACCGATAACGGGCCACAATTCATATCTAATGACTTCAAAGCATTTTTCGACAAGTGGAAAATTCATCTCACTATGTCGACACCTTGATACCCTCAGAGAAACGGTCAGGCGGAGGCTGCTAACAAGTCGATATTAGCAAACCTCAAGAAACGTCTCGGAATCAGTAAAAGTTCTTGGTCTGAAAGACTACCTGAGGTGCTTTGGGCATGCCGAACCACCCCACGAAAGGCTACGGAAGAAACTTCTTTCTCCTTAGCCTACGGGATGGAGGCTGTCGTCCCAGCCAAAACCATCATCGGGAGCCTCCGCCGGGAACTCTGTACATTTAACCCCAAAGCCAATGATCAGCTCCTATTAGATAACCTCGATTTAATCGAGGAACGGCGAAACCAAGCCTTGCTTCGCATTCAAAACTACCAACAAGCAATGGCCCGACATTACAANAACTAGGAACCAACTGGAAAGGTCCCTATCGGATCATCCACATGGTACGAACTGGCGTTTACAGGCTCCTGAAGGTACGAACCGGGATACCTGAAATCCGATCATGGAACACCATGAATCTCAGGAGATACTATCATTAGATACCTAAACTCCCTGAGCTACGTTAGGCTTGATCCCTTAACTGGGTACGTAGGCAACTCTGTTATGAGTGCAGCCCCAACCTCATTTCAGCATTCTTTTCACCATAGCCAAAGGGGGCATATGTTTAAAAACACATAGCCCAGACAGCAGTTGTATGATTGCTACAACGCGATGTATTCTATAAAAGTTATCAATGAAGCGATTACATGTAAACATTTTGAGTTTCCTTCAAACAAATCCAGGTCCCTACGAACCTGGACCTAAGGTCTTAAAATCCTTCAAACAAATCTAGGTCCCTGCGAACCTGAACCTGAGGTCTTAAAATCCCTCAAACGAACTCAGGTCCCTACGAACCTGAACCTAAGGACTTAAAATCCTTAGTAAATTCAGAAATCTTGAAAACTTCCGAACGAATCCAGATTTACGCGAATCTACCCTTAATGACCTTAAAAGTCCTTTGGAAAGAGTTTAGATCCCTAAAGATCTTAATCTACTCTCGATGATCCAGGAACTCATTCCTAATAATCTCACGACCAATCACAATCGAAATCACTAAGACCTCTAGGGTCACTAGGTCAGCTGTTAACAAAATCCGCGATCTGATTCCGGAAAGATCACATAAATCCCAGACTTAAAAAGTCACAGTACATGACTCGAGTTTACACTTCGAAGTCAAACAAATCCAGGTCCCCATGAACCTGGACCTAAGGTCTTAAAATCCTTCAAAAAAATCTAGGTCCCTACGGACCTGGACCTGAGGTCTTTAAAATCCTTCAAACGAATCGAGGTCCCTACGAACCTGGACCTAAGGTCTTAAAATCCTTCGAACGAATTCAGGACTCCGTAAACCTGAAACTAAGGTCTTAAAATCCTTCGAACGAATTCAGGTCTCCGTAAACCTGAACCTAAGGTCTTAAAATCCTTCGAACGAGTTAAGGTCTCCGTGAACCTAAACCAAGGTCTTAAAATCCTTCAGACTAATTCAGGTCCCCGTAAACCTAAACCTAAGGTCTTAAAATCCTTAGTAACCACTAAGGTCTTAAAATCCTTTAAACAAGCTAATTCAGGTTTCCACAAACCTAAACCTAAGGTCTTAAAATCCTTAGTAACCTCAAAGGTCTTAAAATCCTTCGAAAACAAATTCAGGTTCCCAAANAAATCCTTTAAACAAGCTAATTCAGGTTTCCACAAACCTAAACCTAAGGTCTTAAAATCCTTAGTAACCTCAAAGGTCTTAAAATCCTTCGAAAACAAATTCAGGTTCCCAAAGAACCTCAATCTAAGGTCTTAAAACCCTTAACAAAACTCAAGGTCTTAAAATCCTTCGAAAACGAATTCAGGTTCCCAAAGAACCTCAATCTAAGGTCTTAAAACCCTTAACAAAACTCAAGGTCTTAAAATCCTTCGAAAACGAATTCAGGTTCCCAAAGAACCTCAATCAAAGGTCTTAAAACCCTCATCAAAACTCAAGGTCTTAAAGTCCTTCGAAAACAAATCTAGGTTCCCAAAGAACCTCAATCAAAGGTCTTAAAACCTTAACCAAACTCAAGGTCTTAAAATCCTTCGCAAAAACAAAAAAAAAATTCAGGTTCTCAAAAACCTTAACCTAAGGTCGCAAAACCCTTAGCAGCGTTCGAGATCTAAAAGATATCCCAAGTAAATTCAGGTCCCAGAAACCCATTCTCGGGACCTCTCGCTAAAAGGCTACAGGACCTGTTATCAACAGACTCCCCGACCTTCACCCGAAAGTTTTCTAGACCTCATGTCTAACGACTACGGAACCTGTTACTAACAGGACCCAGAATCCTTCGTTCAAAGAAGTAAAAACTTCTACTTAGACGATCGAGACCGTATTAAGAAAATCATCAAAACATCGACGAAGATCGAAGATCCTAACAAAGCAAGGGTTTAAAGGCCTCCTCAGGCCACAAGTCTTAACAAGATAAAAAGAAAGCCCATTGGGCAGAAGTCTTGGGAACACGAAGACATAGTCGCTATCTCAACAAAGAGATAGAGATCAGGCGGTTGAGCTTTAGCTTCCGAGAAAAGAGGTCTCATCTCGAAAGCTGGGGGCAACTGTTGGGCCCAAATATGTCCCGCTAGCTGAGACTAATGGGCTAGAACGATAAGAGTGGACTATGGGCCACTGTAAGCCCATTGGCAATTAATCTTTTGAGAAAAGAGTCAAAAAGAAGCCGGAGGCTGTTTTTGCTAAGGAAGGAACGTCAACAAAACAGGTCACGGAGGAGAGCTCCGGACCTCATTTATAAACAGGTCACGGAGGAGAGCTCCGGACCTCATTTACAAACAGGTCACGGAGGAGAGCTCCGGACCTCATTTACAAGGAGCTAACGGGAGAGCTCCGGACCTCATTTACAACGAGCTAACAGGAGTAGCTCAGGCTGGTTGCGCAGGACCCGGTCAAAAGGAGACTGTTGAGAATCCCCCAACTCACGGAGCAAATCTCGGAGGCTGGTTAGGATCCTTCAAACGTGGCTGAGAACTATTTAAGGAGAAGGAGGAGATCAGAGAAAACTCTCTCTCTCTCTCTCTGGATTCATTCACGCTTTTTTTACACACACATTGTAACTCTCAAATCATTCGATTATATTCTTTGTACTCATCAGAATCACCTTTGTAAATCTTATTCATCAATACAATCATAATTCATTCTCTAAGTTCTTAAGGGATTCAGCCCACGATTGTTTTCTCCCCAATCTTAACCTAACCTAAATTAGAAAGTGAGTTTTATCCCTCACATTTACCATCAGTGTATCTTTCCCCAAAAGTGATTTTCTTGTTTTTAGTTTCTCGTTTTAATCAGTTTTCAAAGTTTTGGTGCTTCAAAAGTAAGTTGAGGTAAGTGTTTACTGTAGCTTATACATAACTCAAATCTGATGTTCTGTAGATGCATCACCATCACTTAACCAACAACACTCATAACCTGCAAATGAATTAGAGTTCATTATGATTAGTGTAACGCTTTTAATGATTTAAACACTGCAATATGAAAAACTGCAATTAGGTAAGATCCAGGTGGAAATCTTTTACACGCCATTTTTCATAATTCATACATAAAATCTGCTTCACACGTCTCTTAACCAACCACACTACTCCTCGCAAAAGACCTGAGAGCAGCTAGTGAGTCCCTTTTGAAGGTTTATGTGATTAAGAAAACGTCTGCAATTAGATAGAAAACCTCTAAGCATATTCAAAGCCTCTTTTGCAGCAAAGGATTTGCCCTGTACATTGTGAAGTCGATCTATAAAAAAAGTGTTCTAACTCTCAACTTGCAGAGTCCAGAGTGAGTAAGGGAATTGAATATGTTTTTTTCAGTAGTAGCAGGAGCTTTAATGGTTGTTTTATCAGTTGTGTTGACAAGAGTTGTGAACTGGGTGTGGCTAAAACCAAAGAAGCTAGAGAGCTACCTGAGAAGACAAGGTCTCCCTGGAACTCCTTACACGCCTCTCGTTGGAGACATCAAGAGAGATGCTAAAATGTTGATGGAGGCAAGATCAAAATCCATCACACCAACGGATGATATCATCCCACATATCCTTCCTCTTGCCTTGAAGATGTTCAACTGTCACGGTACTGTGTCTCTCCATTGTATTTGAACTAGAGTTTGAACTTGATTTAGTACTGTTGTTGGAACAGGAAGGACCTTCTTCATATGGATTGGACCTACTCCAGTGATCATGATAACGAATCCAGAGCATATCAAAGAAGTCTTTAGTAAAATCCAGGATTTTGAAAGCACTGTTTCATCACCTTTGGTCAAATTGTTAGTAGGCGGGGTAGCTAGCTATAAGGGAGATAAGTGGGCAAGACACAGAAGGATCATTAACCCTGCTTTTCATCTCGAGAAGATCAAGGTCTTATCTCTTTATCTTGAGTGTCTGAATCAAGTTTTATTGTATATATCTGTGTGTGTTGTGTTCCCTCTAGTGACATGATGCTTTTTGGTTTTGGATAGAACATTGTCCCTGCGTTCTACCATTGCTCCAGCGAGGTTGTGTGCCAATGGGAGAGACTGTTTAAGGATAAAGAGTCTTCTTGTGAGGTCGATGTTTGGCCTTGGCTTGTGAAGCTGACTGCAGATGTGATCTCGCATGCTGCTTTTGGAAGCAGCTATAAAGAAGGACAGAGGATATTTGAGCTCCAAGGTGAACTATCTTGGCTCATTGCACAAGCGAATAAGAGACCTTACATCCCTGGATTGAGGTTAATGAAAAGAAAACCACCTATCAATGTCTTTGTCACAAACTAAACCTTAAAGACTGAGAGAGTTATAAGACAAGTTGTTGTTTGGTGTTTAGGTTTTTCCCAACAAAGAGCAATAAGAGGATGAATGCAATAGACAAAGAGATAGACACAATACTGAGAGGTATGGTGAACAAGCGGGACAAAGCAGAACACAATGACTTGTTGGGGATACTTCTTGCATCGAGTTCAGAGGAGTCTGGAGGAAGTGGTTTGAGTGTAGAAGAAGTTTTGAAAGAGTGCAAGCTGTTTTACTTTGCAGGACAAGAGACAACTTCAGTGCTCTTGGTCTGGACAATGGTTTTATTAAGCTATCACCAAGACTGGCAAACTAGGGCAAGAGAGGAAGTGAGACAAATACTCGGTGATGATAATGATACTAAACCTGATATAGATTCTCTTAGCAACCTTAAAGTGGTAAGTAAAACTTTCACCCTTTACTTGCACAACAAGATTGCACTTACTTTTATTGTGAACAGATGAGTATGATCTTCTATGAGGTTTTGAGGCTATACCCTCCGGTAACTCAGCTTAGAAGAGCCATCAACAAAGAAGTGAAGCTAGGAGAGCTTACACTTCCAGCTGGAGTTAAAATTTACATACCAACTGCTATTGTTCATCGCGACACCGAGCTTTGGGGGGAAGATGCAGGGGAGTTTAAGCCGGAACGTTTCAAAGAAGGGATCTCAAAAGCAACAAAGAATCAGGTCTCTTACTTCCCCTTTGGGTGGGGACTAAGGATCTGCATTGGTCAGAACTTTTCTCTGTTGGAGGCTAAGATGGCAATGGCTTTGATTCTGCAGAGATTCTCCTTTGAGCTTTCTCCTTCTTATGTTCACTCGCCTCAAATAGTTATGACCACTCGTCCTCAGTTTGGAGCACATCTCATCCTGCACAAGCTCTGATTTGTTTTTTTTTTTTTTTGTATTTATATGGTGATATCATTAACTGTGTTTATGGATGTAAAAGATTGTACTTGTGTATGATTTATATGTTGCGTGGATAGTTATGAACTACCGTTATCACCTTCACCTGCAAAAGAGTTGAGTTAATGATGCTTAATATTAGTGATTCTCTTTTTTATTTTATCAAAATGCTTAGTGGATCTTTTTGAAGANTTTTTTGTATTTATATGGTGATATCATTAACTGTGTTTATGGATGTAAAAGATTGTACTTGTGTATGATTTATATGTTGCGTGGATAGTTATGAACTACCGTTATCACCTTCACCTGCAAAAGAGTTGAGTTAATGATGCTTAATATTAGTGATTCTCTTTTTTATTTTATCAAAATGCTTAGTGGATCTTTTTGAAGAATAAAAAATGCAATTAGATAAGACAAGTGCTTCAGGTATGATTCAGGTGGAAAACCTTTAGACACCATTTTTTCCATAATTCATACATAAAAGCTGCTTTACACGTCACTTAACCAACCACACTACTCTTCACAAAAGACCAGAGATCAGTTAGTGAATCCCTTTTGAAGATTTTTTTTTGTATTAAAAAACAACTTTCTGCAATAAGATAGAAAACCTCTAAGCATAAACTTAGTCCCAATGGTAGAAAACCTCTAAGCACAAACCTCTAACAACTTTCTGCAATAAGATAGAATACCTCTAAGCAATAAGTAGATATGTCTTTTTCAGTAGTAGCAGCAGCTTTTATGGTGGTTTTAGCAGTTGTGTTGACAAGGGTTGTGAAGTGGGTGTGGATAAAACCAAAGAAGCTGGAGATTTACCTGAGAAGACAAGGTCTCCCTGGAACTCCTTACACACCTCTTGTAGGTGATATTAAGAGGAATGTTAAAATGTTGATGGAGGCAAGATCAAAACACATCAATCTAACGGATGATATCATCCCGTATCTCCTTCCCCTTGCCTTGAAGATGTTCAACTCTCACGGTACTGTGTCTCTCCATTGTATTTGAAGTTTGAACTAGAGTTTACACTTGTTTTAAGTAATGTTTTTGGAACAGGAAGGACTTTTTTCATATGGATCGGACCAGTTCCAACGATCATGATAACCAATCCAGAGCACATCAAAGAAGTTTTTACCAAATTTAACGATTTTGAGAAGAATGCTTCATTCCCTTTGATCAGAATGTTAGTAGGTGGGCTTGCAAGCTATAAGGGAGATAAGTGGGCGAGACACAGGAGGATCATCAACCCTGCTTTTCACCTGGAGAAGATCAAGGTAATGTCTGAATCAAGTTGGACTGTGTATATGTAATATGTGTGTGTGTGATCCTTTTTTTGGTTTGGACAGAACATGGTCCCTGTGTTCTACCATTGTTCAAGCGAGATTGTGTCCCAATGGGAGAGACTGTTTATAGATAAAGAGTCGCCTTGTGAGGTCGATGTTTGGCCTTGGCTTGTGAGTATGACTGCAGATGTGATCTCGCATGCTGCTTTTGGAAGCAGCTATAAAGAAGGACAAAGAATATTTGAGCTTCAAGGGGAACTATCTGGTCTCATCGGACAAGAGCTTAAGAAGCCTTACATCCCTGGACTAAGGTTAACAATAACACCCTAGCTACATTGTCTTTTGTCCTGTCATGTCACAAACTAAACTACTATGAAAGTTATGAGACGACTTGTTGTTTGGTGTTAGGTTTTTCCCAACAAAGAACTCTAAGAGGATCAAAGCAATAGACAAAGAAATAGACACAATACTGAGAGGTATGGTGAGTAAGAGGGAAGCTGGAGAAGCAGAACACAAAGATTTGTTGGGGATACTGCTTTCATCAGGTTCAGAAGAATCTGGAGGAAATGGTTTGAGCGTAAAAGAAGTTTTGAGAGAGTGCAAGCTGTTTTATTTCGCAGGACAGGAGACAACTTCAGTTCTATTGGTCTGGACAATGGTTTTATTAAGCCATCACCAAGACTGGCAAGCTAGGGCAAGAGAGGAAGTGAGACAAATACTCGGTGATGATAATAATACTAAACCTGATATAGATTCTCTCAGCAACCTCAAAGTGGTAAGTAAAACTTTCATTATTTACTTGCACAACAAGATTCACTTGAACTTACATTGTGAACAGATGAGTATGATCTTCAATGAGGTTTTGAGGCTATACCCTCCAGTGGCTGAACTTAAAAGATCGGTCAACAAAGAAATGAAGCTAGGAGAGCTTACACTTCCAGCTGGTGTTAGAGTTTACATACCAACTGCTCTTGTTCATCGCGACACCGAGCTTTGGGGGGAGGATGCAGGGGAGTTTAAACCAGAACGTTTCAAAGATGGGATCTCAAAAGCAACAAAGAACCAGGTATGTTTTCTCCCCTTTGGGTGGGGGCTGAGGATATGCATTGGTCAGAACTTTTCTCTGTTGGAGGCAAAGATGGCTATGGCTTTGATTCTACAAAAGTTCTCCTTTGAGCTCTCTCCTTCTTATGTTCACTCGCCTCAGATGGTCATGACCACTCGTCCTCAGTTTGGAGCCCATCTCATCCTACACAAGCTATGAATTTCTTTTTGTATTTCTATGGTGGTTTCATCAAGAATAAAATGTTTTGTGGATGCAAAGATGGTACTTGTGTCTTTATTTACTTGTTGTAAAATAAGAGTAAGGAAACTTTACTTGAAGATTTGTAATTATTTTCTGCTCAAACTATCAGTTGATGTTACCATCATGCATGCATGCTACTCAAGTTTATGACAAAATACATATCTTCCTCTTTTTGTCACCTTCCCACACAAATCAAACTGTGTGCTTCTTGCTTCTTAGTGACATGTGAGTATGCGACTATGAGACTCCAACTAAAAGAAAAAGATCATTGGTCAAACCAAATACTGCAGATAACTTGGCCGAGTTTTAACACCAAAAATAAAGTGCTTAAGACATCACCACACCAATATCTTCTCCTAAATTCTCAAATCTTTACATTTCAAGAAGTTAACAAATTATCCATTTCTTTTCTCTAGGAGAGAAAATAGAGATATCAGTTGCATCAGTGACAGTTTCAGACTTTCAGTTGCTATAGCTTTTGTGTCTTGGTGGGTATGGAAAACTCTGAAGTGTGGTTGGTTTGAACCAAATATGCTTTAGAGCTACCTGAGAACTGAGAAGACAAACATTCCCCTTGGGCAGACTTATAGCCAGTGGACTCGATAGTTATGATGGTGATAAATGAGCTAAACACAGTAGATTCATCAACCCTGCTTTCCATCTTACAAAGATCAAGGTCTTGCTTTCATTTTTCATAGTTTTGGTCCGTAGCGGCCCTGAGGGGAAGCAATACAAGCATTAGCTTCCGGCCTCTAGATTTATAAGAAAAATATCGGCCTTAGTTTCAATAAAGCATCTTTAGTGTAGTGGTAGGGAGTTGGTCTGTTTATTCCGGCCATCCGGGTTCAAACCCCTGCTGAAGCCATCTTTTTTTCCTTTTTTATTTAAATTGACAGCCATCTTTTTTTCCTTTTTTTTATTAAATTGACAAAAACGAAAATTATATATTTAAGCAATATTCCTTTTATTTATTCCTGTAAAGAAGGAAACAAAATTATTTTTAGTTAAGCAATTAATTAACAAAGAGTAATCCCTTATATATTAATCCTGAAGCATTCATAAATACACAACCTTGGAGAGCATGCTTACGTGTCAAGCTTACAGAGCTTCTCAGCATTAATTTTTTAATGGACCAACTTTGCTAGGAATGAAATAATGTAACGTTTAATTTCTTGCATTAAGGACTATAATATATAGACATTTTTTAAGGGACCAACTCTACTAGATATAAAACAATATATTTTATTTCCTTAAATAAAAGCTACAAAATTACCTAATATTATTAACATATATATGTAATTAATGATTATGAATAATACATATTTTGTGTCCTCTCTCTTTTTTGTTTAATTTTAAATTATTAAAATAAATTAAACAATCACATTAAATATATAATAAAAATTAATTTTTTTCTTATAGGTTATATTTTTAGTTATTTATGGTCCTTTTAAGAAATTAAAAATTGTAAAATCGTACAAATATGAAGTATCATTAGTAGATATTCATATTATAAATATGTTAATTTAAAAATTTCAGTGAAAAGGTTTGAGATTAGTAGATACAAATTATAGTATTCGAAAGATTTTTTTAGTTTGTTTTATTTGCTTTTTGAAAAAAAATATCTTTTAGTTTGTTTAGATAATTTAGCTAATTTTAAATTAGATTTATTAATAGTTTAAATATTTTGAATTTTTTGTCAACTTTTAATGTTTAAAAAATATTTTTTGGGATGATTTCAGATATTGGTTAGAATCCAATTTAAACTGAATTGAGAAAACCAAATCCAATCCAATCCGATAATTAGTAAAATTCAAATAGGATTTATGAGAATAATACCAAAATCTGAAAATACATCTCAATCAAACCAAAACCGACGAAGTCTCAAACGTCCAGACCTATGATGATTTAAGATACCAAAATTTGTATTCTTCATTTTATAATCGATAAATACTGTAGTATTGCAAAATGTTAAAAATCATTTAATGAATAAGTATTGGTATAAAAATTTCACCCCGCGCATACGCGCGGGTTATCATCTAGTTATCTATTAAACAATCTAAAAGACAAATTGAAAAACCTAACTACCGTCGCTGTATCATCTTCTTCCTCTTGTTCAGAGAAAAAAACAGAAACTCATCTTTCTCTTCTTAAAAAAAACACACTTCTTAATCCTTGGATTTTCCAAATTGTGATTTGAAAAAGCTCGATCATCATCAACTCAGGTTTGTTAAGTGTTAAACCAAACAAACATAATCATATTATGTGTTATATTTTGTTCTACAGTAGCCTGTATATTATGTCTGCATAACTATATATTATTTACAATTTTTCTTTTGTAGTTTAATGTCTTCAAAGAGAATAAAAAATGAGCTGGGAGGTGCAGCAAAAATAAGAAAAAAGAAGAGGCAAGAAGCACTAACAAATTCAATGGCTGGTTCCATGTTAAGGTATGTAACAAAATCTAAAGCTACTACACCTGATGAATCTATGGAGGAAGAGATTAATAAAAGTAGTGAAGATGCTAGTGGGTCTAATCATGATCAAGCTGAGAACAGTGGTGAACATGAGAATGAACATGAGCTTGATGAGAATGAAGAGGATAAAGCATATGATGCTAAAGAGTATCAGATAGATGGAGATATAAATGATCCTGGAAGTTGGGGAAAAGTTGATAAAAGAATGAGAGATTTTATGGTTGAAAAAGGTCCAATGGCAAGACCTTCAATTGATTATCGTTTTCCAAAAGATTATTTAGGAAGATGTTTTTCTCATTCGTCTTATACCAGAAAAATAAGGAATGGAGAGAAGCAAGATAGGCGTTGGTTACTTTACTCAAAAGTGAAAGACAAAATATTTTGTTTTTGCTGTAAGTTGTTTACGCAAGACAAACCTATAAATTTGTTGGCAACTAGTGGGTCTGATGATTGGAGAAATGTCTCGAAACTGAGGAACATGAAAAAAGTCATAAGCATATTACATGCATGATTCAGTGGCTGGAGTTGGAAGAGAGATTACAGAAGAATTAGACTATTGATAAGGATATTCAAGAAGAGATCAACAAAGAAAAAAAACACTGGAGAGATGTGTTGCTAAGGATAATTGCATTGGTAAAAGGTCTTGCTAAACAAAATGTTGCCTTTCGTGGAAGTAGTGATAAAATCCATGTAGATGGTAATGGAAATTTCTTAGGCATGATTGAAGTATTTGGAGATTTTGATCCAGTGATGAAAGAGCACATTAGTGTGCCTTATGAGGTATGTTGAGATAGATATGATCCAGTTTGTGCTTTATGTTGTTTGTGTATAGAATAAGGTACCTGCGTTTCGTTCCATCAGAGCTGCAGCACAAATCGATTTTTGAAAATATTATTGAACCCTTAAAAAAAATTAATTATGAACCTTCCAAAAAAAAATTCTATATTTTTGAGCCTTTCAGAAACATTTTCGAACCTTTAAGGAATAATTATGAATCCTTCATAAAATATGTTTAAACCTTTCAAGAATAAAATTTTAATCCTTTAAAATCAATTTTGAACCCTCAAGAAATATTTTTTAATCTTTCAGAAAATGTTTTTGAACCTTTTAGAAAAATATTTTTTGAACCATTCAGAAAATGACTCTTTTCACATACACAAACATCTTGAAAATTTAATTTTGAAACTCTTCAAAAAAAAATATTTTAATTGTTTCAAAAGTATTCTGAACCTTTACGAAAAATATTCTTAAATTGTCAGAAAATCAATTCTGGACCCTTTAGAAAATGTTTCTGAGTCGTTCAGAAGTCAATTCAGAACCTTTCTTTTTTTATAACACTGATAATAGTTCGAGCCGACATGGTTTCATAACATACAAAGAAAGAACATGAAAAAGATAGGTGTCAATAGACACCAAGAGAGAAAAGAAAGGGAAATCTCACCAAAGCCTTCTACACTTGAGCCTCCAAAGCAAGTAGATGATGAAGCCAAACTGGACCTCCTTGAGCGATATAAGATTGGTGGCGCAAATCACGAGTGACACTCACCGCAATTGACATTGCTGACTCATTGCGGACGGAACGGACATGGTCTACACTCCAACAATCTATCCGTGCGAGTAGAAATCTGATATTGTGGCATATATGGCTGAAGATATTGTTGTTATCTGGATTTGTGATAACTCCATGAAGGCTTTCAGACGCTGTTTCGAAGATTATATTTGAGAAACGAAGATTATGCATACATTCCACCGCCCAAAAAAGAGCCCATAACTCTGCTTCAACTACTGTACGCATGCACGAGTAAGATCG